ATTCAAGATCTTTATGCCCACTTTTAAGACCCAAAATCTACTTAATTGATAGTTTATTTATAATTGGCACTGTTTTTATAGTAAGAATTGGGGCAAATTTCATATGAGTTTTATAATAAAGTGGAATCTGGCTTCTGTCTATAGTAAAGTTTTTCTTTTACTAAGTTAACCTTTCTTCAAGCTTTAACAAACGTTGTAGAGCTCATTTCTGCGGTTCTAATGATCTTGCCACTATTAGAACCACAAAAACGAGCTCTACAACGTTTGTTAAAGCTTTAAGAAAGGTTGACTTAGTAAAAGAGAAACTTTACTATAGACAGAAGCCAGATTCCACTCTATTATAAAACTCATATGAAATTTTGCCCAATTTTTATTATAGTACTAATATAGCAATAGTGCTAATTTTATCTGAATTAGCAATTAAGTGAATTCCGAATTCATGCATTTTTTGATTAATGCCAAGAGTTCTATAAAGTAAATATGTAATACAGTAAAATCTCTATAAATGCACTATCTATAAATGCACTTCCTCTCTAAATACACGCTCAACCTCTGGCCCAAATATATGTATAACCTCTATAAATGCACTTTTTCTTATTGTTCTCTAAATACACATTAGTTCCAAGAGCATACATTTATGGAGGTTTCACTGTAATACTGTAGTTTTGCAACATGTATACCCTGTACCCTGCGGCGATTTTGGATGCCAAATTTTAATTTATATAAGTGTGAGACTAGTGACTGAACTCATCAACTCATGACTTGGGTGATTCAAATTTATGACTTCTCAAATCATGAAAATTTGACTCGCGAGTTACTCGCAAATTAATTAATTACATTGATTGCATTAAAAATGATTAGTAATTTGTATTAATAAAGTTTGTGATAATTATGTAGTTAATGTATAATTTTATAAAATCTGTAATTGTGTATTTATATATAATTTTGCAAGATTTTTTAATAAATTGTTTGCAATTATTAGTGTTCGAAAAATGTAGATTAGATTGGATTTGGATTTTTGCAAATTCTAACTGTTGGATTAGTTTTGGCCCAGAAAATTCAGATTGGGCGGGATTGGGCCTAATGTCTTTATATAGGCTTGGTGCTGCAAAAAGAGACCAAATTGACAATTTTTTCAAAAGATATTTTTTTACATAATCAATTTAGAATTAGTTTAGAATCATTGCTCTTTAAAGTTTGCATTTTCTTATGATTTATTATAGGATTTATAACATAAAAATTGATTTTCCAATGATCTTTTGTTTTGTCAATTTTGTCTCTTTTTGCAGCACCAAGCTTATATAATCACTATTTGTGATAAAATCAAATTTAACACATAATAAATTCGATTTTATCACGTATATTGTGTTACAATATATGTGACAAACTGCAATCAACCAATGAAACAGCCTTGGATTAGCTCTAGATCAATCTGTATTTTGGATTCAGATTAGATTTAGATTAATCTCGGTTCAACTAGGAATTTTATTCCATTTTTGAACACTAGCAATTATGAAAGTTAATAGTAAATAAATCTTAAAAATTTATATATACAAATATAACACAAAATGAAAATAACAGTGAACAAGAAGAATCTTATAATAAAGAAATTAGCCAAAGCACAACTACTTATAAGTCCAAAAGTCAGTAACATAAAGTTTCATCTGGAATTACTTTGAAAAAAGCAATAATAGTTTGACTACAACTTGTCAAATTATGATGAATAATAGAAAGAAATGTGGTGCCAAATAAAATAATGGTTCAATAACTTCAAATTTAAAATTTAATTAACCATCCTGCTCAAAAATATAGGATATTGAAAAATAGTTTTTATAGCCTAGTGATACTATTAAAAATTAGTTTGTTAAAACAAAAGGATGTTCTATAGAAACTCTGCAACCTCCGCAACTCCGTTAAATATCTATTAATGATTATTAATCATTAGTAGAGTTTATTTTTTATATTGCACACCTATTCTATAGAACATCCAAACAAAAAATAAATATAAACTAATTTAGCTAAATTTAATTTCATTTATTATTGATGATTCACAAGCATTTAGTATAGTGGAATATAGAAGCTTTCAAAAATTACTACATTTGCTTGATGAAAATTTTTCAATTACCTGTAATAAAACTGTAAAAATTTTAGTTAGCAAAGCATTTTCTTGAAGTAAAGAACTCAAAAATATCTTGAATATTTAGTTACAACACTATATTACTAACTTTATAAATTGCTCAATAATAATCACTTACTTGAAACCTTTACATCAAACTGTGTTATGTAGAACAAGAACTGATGAACAATTGACAAACATAATAGAAAATGATAGCATTACTATATCTATAACAATATACTTTTAGATAAGTTGTTGTTACCAGGGATGTATTGGAATCATATGTGCCTAGATTTCTGAATTCTGGAAGCTTAAAAATGCACATCTTGTTTTACAACATATTCTATACATCATATGGGTGAAATTATTGCAAAATTGTTGATTGTATTTTAAATAAATAGGGGTTAACTAACAAGATAATGGCAGTAACCATGAACAATAAATCAAATATAAAAATGCATTTCAGTTATTAGAATTTAATAGAAATTTTTACATGGCTTATATGCTTCAATTGTCTGTTGAAAAAGAATTAAATATAGTTAAACCTTTAGTTTTACAGGTAAAAAGATTAATTGATTTCTTTAATAATTCACTAAAACAAACTAAATATCTTCTTATTATATAAAAAGATCTTGAGTTTAAAAAACCTTTATTAGCAATTGAAGATAATTCTAGCTTCAGAATTTATCTTTTTATGCCTGAGAAAGATTACTTTACTTAAAAAAAGCATTAATATATCTTTCTTTATAACATCAATAGATAAAAGTGTATTTGCTCAAAAAGATAGTGAACGATTGGCATGTATTATTCTTAGCAACAATAAATAAATATTTTTAGATAAGTTAAATGATGTCTTGTGTGGTTTTGAAAAAATAACAACATTATTAATAGAAATACTTATGTTACTATCTTTTTAATATATCTTGTAATTTCATCATTAATTAAAACTTTAAAATCATCACTTCAACAATCTTACTTTGAATTAACTTCAATAAATATAAATAAATTAACAATTCTTGATTTTATAGAAAAAATTAAGAAGATACAAAGAATGCTGTTGAAATTAAGGAAGTTGATTTGGTGTTAGGTATTGTGCATAAAAAAATTAATATTTCAATTCCAATAATTATTTTTGGAATACTCAAGAAGGTTAAAAAATACTCTACAATAGTATGTATCAGCATTAGGATTCTGTTACAGATATTAAAATGCTAGCATGCTTGCTTGATCCATGGTTTAAAAAATTATACTTTGCAAATTCTGATGTAATTCTAAAGACTAATAAACAATTACAAAAATTATATGAAGCAGGATGTAAAACATTTGGTATCTTTGTCTAATATCCAAAATAATGATTTAGAAGCTATTAGAGTTCCAAGAAAACAAAAATTAATTTTATTAGATTTATATGCTAATAATGATAATAAAATTAGCAAAATTAATCAATACTTATCTTTGGAAGAGGAGGGAGTATGAACAGATCCATTTCAATAGTGGAACCTTAAAAAATCCCAGTTTTCTATATTATCAAAAATTGCACAAAAATATTTATGCATATCAGCAACTTCAGTCTTATCTGAATGGTTGTTTTCAGATGTTAGAAACAACATTATGACAAAACACACAAATCTTAATCCAGAACTAGTGGGTGAAATGCTGTTTTTAAAGAAAAATATGGATTTATTCGATACAATATTTCCAGCTTATGAATAAATAATATTTTATATATTGTATTTGCTTTGCAACTTTTAATCAGAAATTTGCATTTATAAATAAATAATATATGTATTTGCTTTGCAACTTGTAATCGGAAATTTGCATTTATAAATAAATAATATATATATTTGCTTTAAAATACATTAACAATAATTAATAATTTTTGTAACTCGAATAATTCGAGTAAAAGTAATTCGAACATACTTGAGCATATTCGAGCACTCTTCTGTGTTTATTTCACGAGTTTCAAGCTTACACGAGTCCAGTCTCTAGTGTGAGGGTAGCATACTTATATACCCGGGCATGTAATAGTAAAAACATATAAGTATTCATACGGTATATCACCCCATATGAGTACCCAGAAATACCCCGAGTACACATGTCGTAGAAATACGGCAAATAAATTTAAAAATGTGATCAATTCTATTTTTATTAAAAGTAGACTTTACCGACTAAGTCAATTAAGTTGGCTATCGCAAAATAAAAATGCAATGTAAAATTAAGGATGTGCAAACTAGTAAGTATCGAGAAAAATGTGCAACTAAATGATTATACATTATTAATAAAAAAATATATATTATCATTTTTACTATACATAAAGCAAATATTTTTTAAGTAAATACAAAAAATTCATTGTAGCGGAAGGATATAGGTTAATGTGATTTAATTATGGAATCACATAATTCCTTGTAATAATTAATGTAGCATAATACTGTATCTGCTGTATTTATTGTTACTTATTCTACTTTGGTTAAGCAATTTAATAAATTTTATGAAGCATGATTCTCAAAAAGTCAGGTTAGTATAACGGTGAGAATTAATCATTGAAAATGTGAAGCAAAAGCAACAGCAAAAAAAAAAAATTTATTCCGTTATGGTGAATTTATGAATACTCCATAGCCTGAAAAAATTTGATTACTAATATTTTTTTATATTTCCAATTAGGATGCGTCATTATAATAAATTTCTGTGCCTAAAATTTTTAGCATTGATTGTTTAATATATCAATTTGGTATCTAAATTTTAAATATGGGGCCAAGACTTGGATTTGGTGACCAAATTTTAGCGTAATTTCATAAATTCGCTTTAATCTACTCTAACATGATTTAAATAATTCTAATCATCTAATTAATATAATTCTATTTAAATATGTATGTATTGCAAATTATTAATGGTCTATTTTATTTTTTATTTCTTTAAGCAACTCTTTCATTTCTTTCATTTCTTTTTGTAAGATATTTAATTTATCGATTTCTTTCATTTCTTTTTGTAAGATATTTAATTTATCGATTTCTTGAATTTCATTCTTTGGCTCTCCTTTAATTGCATTTAAAAGAATTGGTGAAATATAAAGTTTTTTAGATAGTTTCCGTTCATCAGACTCAATTTTTTGAATCAGTTCATTAACATGAACTATATAATTGCTTTAATATTAAAATTGTTTAGAATATTAATATATAAAAATTTTTTAAACTTTTATTTATCTTAATTATAAATTTACTTACAATGTATCAGGAAACCAGTTATATTTTCTTCTCTGGTGAGGCATCAAACAAAATAACTCAATTTCTACAATAATCTAAATACGAGCAAGTTAGAAAAATTAATTTAAATAATATTTAAAAAAAATTATACTATGTGTACCTCTTTTTTTAACTTCATATAAGCAACTTTATTGTCTTCAGTATCACCAACTAAATTTGAAAGTATACCAATGAATAAATTCATCAAGTAAATAGTTACTAAGAATGAGAAAACGATCATAAAGATCATTGTTATAATATTCTCTTTTGAAATCCATGATGAAAGAGGGGTTGAATCTCCTAATATAATAAATAAAAATTATAACTTAAATACTACAATATATATATATATATTATAAAGATAAGTATATTACCTGTAATCATTATATAATAAGATGCAAGAATTGCAGAACCAAACTGTTCAAATATATTATCTGTTTGTGAATATAAAGATTTGCATAGTTATAAATTTATCAATATTGCCATTTACAATAAAATCAATAGTAATCACTTAATCAAATACTTTGGGATGTCACAAATATAGATCGTAGCAAAAGGTGTAATGAGTGTGCAAAAACGAATATAATAAGTCCAAATATTATTAAAAATGATAATACTTTGTCTACAGTATTCATTATCATAGCAATATAAATTCCAAAATATGGTATTGCTCGGAAGAAGACAATAAATTTTAATTCAAGAAGTAAGATTGAAAATGTGATGCTCCCACTTGATACAGTGCCATATTTTAGCCATTTAATAGAAGTTACTATAGTTGATATTATAGCACCAAGATCTGTTGAGATAATAAAATATAAAATTAATATGTACATATATGTATATCATAATAGTGTTATTTGTCGGATCTAAACTATTGACTGATTGAGAGCGTTCTCAAGCACCTACGTACCTCAATGAATTCAATAAAAATCTGATTGGCTAGTTTGATTAAACTGACCAATCAGATTCGTTAATGAGTCCATTGAGGTAGGTGCTTGAGAACACCCTAAGTCGAATTTATAAAAGCTGACTTAGCTGACTTAGTCGACCAAAGTTTTATAAAAAACAAAATTTTTGCAATTATCTTTGATAGGTATTAAAATCCATTAATTATTATAAACCCATCCAGGGCGGACCCCTAAGTGCGGGTCACAGGTCTGTCTGTCAAGCCACATAGAAAGATCTTGTAAACAATTGCTAGATATTCAGAGACAAAAACCATAGCTTATACTGCAGCAATAGCGCGTCCAAATGTTAGAGGATTTTTGCTTTGCACAATCCAGCATTTCATTCACATGATTCCTATGTGACTTGACAGACCCTTGACTCGCACTTAGGGTCCACCCTGGCTGGGTCACCGTGGTTAGAAAATTAAATAACTTGTACATTGAACTCATAATTTCGCACTACAGTATCGCTATAAATAATTGACACTATATATCGATATAATTATTTTTTTGTAGGATGTGCTGCTACACCAATTAATTTTATTATTCCTATATTTAGTTGACTAAGCCAGTTTTTTAAAAAAATCGGCTGACTTAGCCGGCTAAGTCAACTAAGTCGACTATAAATCGACTAATATTAATTAATTGTTTTTAGTAAATAAGAAATTTACGGTACCTATATAGTTCCAAATACTTGATAAATAATTTAAAGGAGAGTAAATAAATTGACGAATTTCGTGTATTAAGTGCCAGAATCCAAGAATAATAGTAATAACTAAGAAAATTTGTATATTGCTCCACGAAATCGAATCCGATAAAGTTGATACAACCACAAAACTACAAAGAAAAATTGTATATACTGCCCAGGTAAAAAAATAATACCTTCTACCAAAGCTATTCCACTTAAAATTGAGAAGAGCTTCCCCATTCCAAGTTTTATAAAATTCTGAGTCAATTGATTTTGCAAAACTACTAGGCTCCGGTAGTATTAATTCCCAATAATTATACTCACTAGGATAACTAACAAATTTTGTTAAAGGAAATGTTAAAACCACAAAGTGCTTAAAGTCTACAAAGTGCTCTTCATAGAAGGATCTAGTAGCTCTTATGAAATTAATCTTTGATAACATTTGCAGAAAAAGATCAAATTGAGCAAAAATTTTATATATTAAAGTATCTAAAAAAGATGTATATAATTGATTATAAAGTCCAATATGACGTAAGTGATTTGTAGAAGTTCCTTTTTCTAAAATTTGGGTTAAAAAATATTTATCAGAAGTAATAAAAAATGAGATTTCTGACATAAAATCTGTTACAAATATTGAGTTTTCTCTTGATAATTTTGTAATTGATTGAGAAATTATACTGAATAATTGGATATTCGGATCATTTTTGTTCTTAAAATTTATTTCAAAAAATCTTTTATATAAATTTTCCATTAATTTAGTTTCGTTAATTTGAACCAATTTTGTCATAAGATTACTTCCATAGATAATTAAATAAAATTCATCTTTAGCATACGTTTCCAATAATTCTTCAAACAAATAACTTGCTTCTTGATCGCTCACAACAAAGTGTGGTGATGGAAGAAAACTATCTGAAAATGTACTTTCTTTAAAGATCTCTTGCATATTTTTACCTTTATTTGAATAATAATAAATCAACACAATTTTCTTAATTCTTGTCTTAAAAGTCCAAATAAATACACCTTTATCTGTAATCAAAGCTAAATCGTCATTGTAAAGACAACTATATTGCATTACAAATTGCATATTTTTCCATCTATCTAAAATAATATCTCGTTCATCTGAGCTGTCTAAAGTTTTTGCTTTAAGAATAGCTTTCTCTGAATCACATCTCAAAGTCCACTTAACTAAATTTCCACATGTTAAATCAAAAAATTCATTACTCGTCGGAATTTTAGAATCATTAACCATACTCTCAATTATTTTTCCGCCCGAAGGTATAGTGATCCTATTATAATCTTTCAGCTCTTCTCGTAAGTATTTGATCCAATTTTTATGAATTAAATCCTTGATAGATAAATTTCCATCAACAAAACCTACAATTTTATTAAATGCCACAACGCAAGGGGCATTAAATTTTGACGAACCAAATTCAAAAAGTTTATCAGCTGCAATAGATTCCGCATATGTGTATGGATCCCTTAACTCGTAATTAATTCGACCGCCTTTATCATGAGACATGACGAGTAAACGCTCTCCATTTTCTGATGCAATTATATCGAATACGTCGATAATCTTGGTTTCAGGATACATATCTATAATAAAATAAAATGACATTAAGATATTGGTCACAACTAAATTTTTGTTGCGGCTGAAGCTGGAAATGGATGAAGCTAGAAATTTTAATTATTTTAATATGAAATTTTCAAAAATTTTTGAGGCCTTTTGTTAAGGTTTTTTTTTTAGGGTTAGGTTAGGGTTTAGAGGTAGTTTAATAATAAAAGAGTATAAGCGGATTTTTGTAGAATTTATATTTTTAAACCAAGTCCCTAATTTTAGCTTCAGCCACAACAATTATTATTATGACTATGTACTTATATACAGTGCTTAGTGTTAAAAACTTACATGTTACTAGCTTCATTCCATTATTAGCTAAATAGACTGTTAAACTCAAAAAAGGTTCCTTTTTTTCCATATATTTTGTTGTATATACTAATAATAATGATTCATTGTAATTTAGTTTTATATCATGAACTTCATAAACATTGCTCAAAAAATATTGCGCCTTAAATAATGAAGTCTTAATATCCCATTTAGTAATGTATCCAGATCCAAATCTAGAACCATCATATATAAGCAATTTTTCACTGGGTGTTACGAACACTCTAGTATCGGGTGATCTTTTAAATGATATTGTCGATTTGCAAATCAATTCTAAAAAATCCCCTGTTTTTTTTGGAGTCAAGACATATGCATTAGATACACCAAGGTTGATCATGACGATGTCCCCATTTTTCATAAAAGTTGAATGAGAAACGTCGATTGGTATAGTAAAATTTGGCATATAAAGCCATCTGGTTTTAAAATCGAAGATTCCTTTAAAAAAAAATTTAAAATAAAATAAGTTACAATGTAAAAATACAAATTTTTAGGTTCCATGTATCTTATTTACGAGGATACAGTCAGACCTCTCTAAATGCAATGCAATGCGACGGGACCTTATGTAAAAATTTAACTTAGAGAGGTATTTCATTTAGGGAGGTAAAGATCTATAGGCGTGATATTAGTTGGCCCAAGAGAAGACGTGCATTTAAGGAGGCTTTTCATGGAACGTGCACTTAGAGGGGTGCATTTAGGGGGTCTGACTGTATGTAGGGATGGGGGTTTGATTTAGTTTGATTTAGATTGATTTAAATTTTATTGATGCATATACGTATTAGATTAGATTAAATTAAACCAAAACAAACTAAATTGTATTTCCCATCCCTAAGAATATGTAAGTAATTTATCCATCATCTAATATGAGGTATACAGCAATGTTATTATTTTCTCGATTCTGCAACTACTTTCCATTGAAGTCACGACAAGGAAGAATATCAATGTTTTCCAGTCATAACACAAAAGAAAATGACATTCTCAGACACCTCTTTCAGTGGACTCAACAAAGAACATTGTTGGCCGTTGCTTAAACAGGTCAATCAAAAAGGTGTATGAGAACGCTCTAAATCATAAAGTAGCAAAATTACCGCCGTTCTATTTATAATAAAATTCATGTTCTAAAAAAAAAAAACCTACCAATTTTAAGCTTTTGAACATTTAGCTTTTTATCATCCAAGTTTGGTTTATCATCTTTCTCAAAAATACGCATCAAAACAAGCTTATTGTCAGAAACAGTAAATAATTTAGAATATTCACAATAATCAGACTTGTACAAATTATTATATTTATCATAAACTTCACGATCTAAAATTTTCCTATATTCTGACATCATATTTTCATGTTTTAATTGTTGTCCATCATCACTAATTTGCCATCCAACAACTGAATTATCTTCACGACTCCATGTAGCAATATATTTCATATTAGGCGAACACACTATCTTTGTTACCGACTTGCCATTATGCGGAATGTCTGATTCTATTTGGATAGTTTCAAAAACTTTCGACATTTTTTATTGTTATACAAGTTTAATCTCAGGAGATAGAAAGACGTCAATTGAATCTAAAACTTTCTCTAAATTCCGATCTTAAAACTTTGTAAGCCATGCCATGCTTAGATGACAGTTGTCTCTGCAAATATATCACTGTTACACGTAAACTTAACCAATTTAAAATACATATCGATATATTAATATCGTTATTATTATTATATTATCTCATGTTTTCTGTATATTTCGGGAAATTATAAACAAAATTGTGATAGATTTAAAGGCTAATTATTTGTATAGTTTTATTTGCTTCATAAAATTTTGAAATATCAATACGTACATGCTGTTTTCTTGATATAAAAGTATGATATCAATCAATACAAAAATAATAGCATAATCCCGTTATCAATTAAGACCATTTAGTGATTAGTATTTGAAGGCATTATTGTTCCCATGATCACAAAATTCATTGAAGGAATGAGGCCAGATGCTGTTATATGATTTTAAAAAATTAAGAAAAAAAAAACAGCCTCCGATATTTTTTTATCAGAGTCCTGAGGTAGGTATAGAAATTATTTTTGCATTCTCGCATTTTTCACGTGCTGCTAAAAATTCACGGGTTGATTTGATGCTTGAGAAATTTTTCGTACTTAAAATTAATTACCTTTGTGTCTACATCCCATTTAGTAAAAAATTCAAGATAAATGTATGAGTGCTGCCAAGGGAAAATGGAACTTTGGTCTTTCAATATACTTTGTATTGGATACATCCCTAATAAATTAGATAGATCGTGTCCGGTTCAAAATGTAATCGGAAGACCCATTTCTCTTAGCAGCATTCGAGATGCATTTAGGAAAAATTTTATTAATTTTATTATAAAATTCCCTCTCACCTTCTCTTCCCATCCCTTTAGGGGAAAGAAGTTGTGTAAACCGCTGAATAAATTAGTCTGACCTTACCTTAAACTAAATTTTGTTTTTCAGCCCTTATACTGAATATTCATAGTAGGAGTATTAAGTTTTAATTAATTGTATAAAAATTTTACACCATTTTTGCAATTATCTTAAATAGAAGACTTTAACAAGGTGTTTCATAAATTACTCAATATTCCCATTTATTTTATTTAAGATGATGGTTTTATTCTAATTTACATATTGTTTGTTCTGAAATCATTTAAAATATCTGATCTATAATACGTATATAATTAGTGCAACAAGCGGTGCTACGCATAATCGGATATGGTCAAAGCAACATAATATTTTAGTGTATAGTTTTAACAACAAATAAATACATTGGCCTGTAAATTCATATTTACTATACATACTAAAACGTTCGTATATATCACCGAACAATTGTTTAATATATTTTATTTATTTTTTATTATATTTTATTTTTCTTCGCACAAAAACTCAAGATTTCTTGTTCTTAGTCCTCAGAGTTTTAAATATTGAAAAGTTCTGACATCATCAGAAAAGGGTTTTTTTTTCTCGATAAGATTAGTGTCAAATCATGACCGTTACAATTTGCAAATTACACCAACTCAAATTATATTACTATAGTTTACGACATGACACGTGTAATTGTGTTTACGGTTTTTTTTTAAACGACTGGATTTAAATATATATATATATAATTACAGTATAATAAATGACTTGGTTAGTTTTATATTCATTCACCTGCATGGCTTAGTATTATTTATCGCTATCTAAGTAAACTTAAAATTAAAAATTTGAGGCTTAATGATATTTATGTATGCATTCTTAGCCACTCATAAAACATAAATCGCTGAGTTAAGAAAAAGATGTATCTACAGTATATAACGATAAAGGTTAAATCATTTTATGTTTTATAAAACTGGGATATGATGAGTGTGACTATCAGGAGTGATTACGTTGTGATTAGTCCAACAAGTTATACGTAATAGTTGATATTTTCAAGTTCTCTTGGTCATGTGATTATACTAGAGCAAATATTTGCAATTCAAAGGCAAATAAAAAAAAAAGTGAGGCGCATTAACAATCATCTTTCCAAAGAATAAAGCCCAATTTTTTACCGGTTTAAAATTTTCGGACAGAAAAAGAAAGAAATGAACCCAATTCTTTTAAAATCCTTAAACGTTATTGTATGTCTCTTACTAATAGGTGCAACTATCTTTACACTACTTACGACTGAATCATTCCCAAGCAGCAGTGATATTAATAATGCCACCAATGCACAAAATTCAACCAGTTCATACACTTATCTTACACCCGCAACTTACACTTTTGGAATCCTATTTGTGCTCTATTTTTGGCTTGTTATTTTTGTAATTTATCAATGGTTTGTAGATGAAATCGATTACAGTATTGTTGTTGAAGGTGTTTCTTATTACTTCATTATTGCTGGAATTTTGATTACCGCTTGGTTTATTCTATGGGTAATATATTCCTTAATTTTTCTGGTCGCTCGCATTTTCCCTGCGTATTTATTAATTTTTAATTTTAATGTTTTCTTTTAGAAATTCGAATTTTACCTCATTGCTGCAATTATACAATTGTTAGTCTTTGCAACTGTAGTATATATATGTTATAATATCGATTTTCATTATTATCCTAAAGGATTTTTCGAAAATCTCTTGATTCGTAAATTGTTTTCTATTTGGGCAGCTTGCTCTTTATATGCTTTATTTCTAGATTTTTGGATTGCTATCCCCGCTCTTGATACTGTTCTTTTGTCAGTTATTGCTTTAATTATTTTAATAATTATTGGTTTGTTTGTAGTAGATTATTATCCAAATCACGATTTTATTTTTTCTCTTGTTATTGTCTGGATATTAATTGGTGTTGCTATTTATTCAATTAATGTATTTCCTGTATTTACAGTTATTGTATTAGGAATTGGTTTGATTACTGGTGGTATTTTTAAATCCATTTTTAATATGTTTTATGAACAGCATAAGAGTATGAACATTCTTGATTAAATTTTAATCTAAACTATGTCAACCATTTTTTTTGCGCATATATATATTTTTTCTTGTTTTAGATATTTTTTATAATTCTTTATTGAATATAAAATTGTTGCATTGCTCTTAAAACCATATTTATTAAAACCAATTAAAATTTGCTTCTTTAATTATATGATTTAATATAATAAATGCTTAATTATTTAAATATCGCTAAGGAAACTAAACCATCTATAAGATCTTTGAACGTGAACCTATCCTTTAAAGCTAATTACTGTACTTGATATTAATGAATTTGATATATAAATATTAGTTTCTAAATTTATAGTCAAAAAAAAAACAAACTTGGCAAATATTTATTTAATTTATCTAGCAATTGATTTTGATTTAGTCTTAAAAATTCTATAACCTAGCTATAGTGTGTAATATTTTTTTTAATACTATATAAAATTTTTTTGCTTATTAAGCTACTAGCAATTCAAATTTATATTTAAATACAATAAATATCTTTTTTTCTTATTTTTTTTTATATAATTATATTAGTATATGTATAAATTAAACTTTACAGAATTTAATCTTTGATTATTTATTTGATCAATTTTAGTACTACTTTATTTAATTTTCAAAATAAATTTTACCAAAAACATGTTATTCATATTTCTTATTTAAATACGTAATCAATTGATTTGTTTGTTTATAAATTTTTTCTTTCTGAATATACTCTCTAAATACACATTCTAAATGTATATTTACATTTTTATATATATTTATAAAGTGATACTATCTTAAAATGCTATATTTTTTAAAATTATAATTAATTCTATAATTAGTTAAAATTATCTCACCGCAATGCTATATCTCAAAAATTCACTAAGTAATTTGGGTTAGAGTTTCTAACTAAAAATTATTCTAACTAAAATTTAAACTAATTATACCTAACCTTAGCCTATAGGGATATCCTAACCCTACATTTTAGCAAAAAACTATATGTGGTGATAATTACCTGCGATGAGATTTAGCAAAATTCAAAAATATAAATTGACAACAATTATATAAAATTATTTTTATTTATCATTTCTAAGAAAAAATAATCAATAATTATACGAAAGCAACAAATAATATTTAAACAAAAGTATGTTTTTTAAAATGAAATTTAATATTGTTACTCATAGGGAAAATTATCCGGTATATGAAAAATTATTTTATTTAAATTAGGGTTAGGATAGTATTTAAAAGATGAAAATTGAGTTTTAAATTTTTATTTAAACCTTCAGATTGGTTTTCATATAAATTTAATATAGCGATTTTTAATTTTTTTTACGTGCGGGTAACTTATTCACAACATAACAAATAGAAATACTCTTATAAATTTATAAAGTGTGTCTAAAATATCGAATTCAATTTCTAATTCGCTATGATAATCTGAAATATTATAATATTAATTAATTTAAGTAACAGAAATATTGCATTTTATTTAATTCTGTAAGACCATACCCTGATTATGAGGTTTCTCATTATATTTTTTTTGTTTTTTATTTTTTTCATAAATGACTATTATAGATTTCGTATTAATATTAGTGTATTGAGTATAAACTTATTATTGGAAATTTATTATCATCAACATACCATCATAATTCAAATTAATTTCATAAAGTTTATGCTTTTTTAGAGTATTAAAGTTAGGATACGATTTTAAAAATTGCCTATTTCTGTATTTCGGGATGAAGTTTTAATTTCATTAATTATTTAGAGCACTTTTTAATTAAATAATATTGCATGGATAAACTGTACTGAATTAGATTATAAAATCTATCATACCTTTTTTTTATCTATAAAATTAAATGAATCTTATTAAAATTTGATAATTTATAAGATAAATTGAATTAATTTATTATTATTTGTCAAATTTATCTGTTAGATAGATTCTTGGTAAAACGGAATCTATTTATTTATAAATAAAATAGAATGTATATTTGAATTTGAAAAAATCTCCAAGTAATTAGCAATCTTACTTGTGTTTAATGTCATCTGTAATGCAGTATTAACTAAAGAACTTAGTGGCCTACTAGTATACTGTATATTGCCTGTGGGTTTATGAATTTGATAAATGGAGGTTTTTTATCTTCTGAGAAATATATTTCTCCTCTATATAATTTCGGAATAATATCACTGATGGAAACCTCAATATATAAGCGCTTGGCCTGTTTAATGGATTAGCATCCCAGCATTTTTTAATTAAATCGATATAAATTTGCGGTAAACCATTATATATTTCAGGTCTGAGACCATTAAGAATATCATGGATAAGAATACGATCAGAAAAAGGATTTGACCAGTTATCATTTCCCACATAATCATTCCAAAGCTGTAAATATCTGAAGCTTCTGTATATTCTTCACCTTTGAATATTTCAGGAGCAATATATGGAATCACTCCATATATTTCTTTTGTTTTTGCTATCTCGTTGGCTGGTTTACTTATTCCAAAATCTCCGATTTTTATATCTGCATCATTATAAACAAGTATATTACCACTATGAAAATCTCGATGAATAATTTGTTTATTATGAATTTTTTTAAGTCCCAGTGCTATAATTTTCAACATTCTTAGTTTTTTAATCCAAGGTAAAGTAAGAAAATTTTTTAAAATAAAATTATGTAAGTCACCATGTGTTGCTAGCTTTTGTTTCGGGATGCTGCGTGATGCCATAATATTTCTGTATACAGTCATTACCAATATATATACTATTTGAACATTGAAAGTAATTTTTCAACCAGAATAAACGAAATAATTAATGAAATTTAATAATAGTAATGTTATATATGACTATATATAATTATAACTATATATAATTATAACAACACAAACCTCATTTAAAAAATCAAGACTTATACTTTCAGAATTATTAAAACTTTTAAGAGCAACTATACTACCATCAAGGTACTCAAATTTTTTATGCCATGAACTCCAATAAATTTTTAGCTTATAAAAGCATTTCGCCTTATATATTTCACCAAACCCTCCTTTAGCAAGAAAAGTAATTCTACTGAATTGTTTATACGGAATAAATTCTATAAAAACTTGTTTATTTTGTTTAATTAGTTCAATAAGCCAATTATCTATAAGTTCATTTCCGCTTAATATAAATTGATTACATTATTGTGCATTCTCATCCTTATGAAACTTTGATCTCTTGCACCTATTACATTTTCTAACTAATGGATCTTTGTCCATGATGGCTTTATTTATGCATATAGTTAATAAATTAATATTTTCCATTATTTTATTTCAAATTATTGTTGTAAATAAAATGGTATGTGTCAAGTGGGTTCGCACTAGGGCTTTTACTAATACTGATCTAGATCAATTCGTGATCACTTTCGGTTGTCTATGAACACACAGCGTTGAACGGCATCTTACTTTGGCTCTGACAACAATATACCACCTTTAAGAAGCACACCAACAACCTTTATAGAAACGAAAGGGTTTGTATATCCTTTATTACGAATTTTATTGTTAGTGAGAAAGAGAATCGCCTTTCGCTTACAAATTCCTTTATTCTATTTATACATAATTTCTCTATCAAACTATAAATTGGTTTTATCAAACCATAAATTGATAGCTGCACTTTTAATGTAAGATTAAGCACAAACTACAATGGACTTCGCATAAAAATACTTGTACCGATATGCACTTATTATCTAGTTTCACAAATTCTTGATTTGTGACATTGAGGATTCAAATTTTCCTAGAGGATTTTCCTTTCTAAATTTAGTATCAACTCTTTTTTTTCAATAGAGATCTGATCCGGTCGAAAATTCGTTCAATCTTTTTAATATACGAATATTCATCAGCAAATTTTAAATGAATATACTGAATATTCATTGAATAAGAACGCCAATGGCGTCCCGCCGAAAAGTGGAAAAATATATATTTATATATTCATTGAATATTGATAATCATGAAATAGAGTTGTTAATTCGGAACAATAATGAATTAAGACAATATTATGATGTTGATTAATCGAGAGTTTAAATACACGAGCTAGCAAATGAGTTTATGTTTAAAAGCTACATTAAAATAAATAAATCGATAGAGAAAACTTCCAGCTAATAAGGATTTATCTTGCTTGGGCTCATTATTTTTAGCATTGCTAACCAATCAGCATATAATATTGAGCATGACATATGACACCAATCTTGCATTTAATTGGTCAATTAGATAGTAAATATTCATTGAATATTCAATGAATTATTTGGTAAAAAGTTTTTATATTCGAATATTCAATTCAGTGAACCAATTATACAGTGTATTCGGATATTCGAATATACTATTTATCGGATCAGATCACTACTTGTACGTATGTACGTACGGTGCAGAAAATTCAAAAATTTAATCTCCCTATATAGGAATAATGCATCAACTGAACATTGAAAATATATTTTTAAATTGCTAATTTCAATAAAATAAAGGGCCCAGAATTCTCAATCACTTTGCATAGAAATAATACGTATGCCAAGAATAATATGTACTTAATAGAAACTATTTTATGCGTACTGCAAATAAGCCACTACTGAATTTAGCATATCTCTAGTGTGTTAGTCGACTTTATTCCATATAAAGTAATTGGGGTTTTTAGGCTTCCTGCACCGTACGTACTGTACGTACACGATCGCAACGATTGTGTGCTGTTACATCGATTAATTTAGGATATATTACAGTCTAGTTAATTAATTGTAAAACAAAGAAGTCTATAATAGCACCGCATGATGCGTGTAGCAGTAGTTTTACACATTTTCAACGTATTTTTCATATATCAAAAATGTCGGATGAAGCTTTGACAAAACTAATCTGTGATTTTAATCAACTTAGTTTCACTAATTGTCAAAAATTGGCAGATACGAACGATTCAGACGGAATATACTGGCTTGGATATTGTTACGAATATGGAATTGGAGTTGAGAAGGATGAAAATGAGGCGTTCGTTAATTATAAAAAATCAGCAGACTTGAATAATT